TACCAAGTACGTGCAAACATCCGCGAAAATCATGTTCTTTCATACTTTAATAAACTTTCGACAATTAAATCAGAAACTCATTTCAAGTATTATTTATATTTATTACCAAAAGTTAAGAATGTTTAGTTTATAAATATTTTTAATGAAAATTTCATTACAATACTTTCAATGATTCAAAAGTTATTAAAAAATGTCACTGCATTTCTCGATCCGGAGAGTTTTTCTACTTGAATCGAGTTTTTTTTTTCATTCGTAATAGAAAATGCCGGTGGCTCTGTGGCGGCTACCTCCAGACCTGCCAGCAGAGGGCTCCTCTTCCCGCTAGTAGCCGATCCGTTCCGATCCCTATATATACACCGAGACTTCGCCCTACCCTTACGTCTAAGGCAAGGGCCCGCTAGGATAGCCTTACTGATGAGTCCTCTAGCGGGCCCCGGACGAAACGTCTCCCCACTCCTTTCTACGACCTAACGAACCGCCGCCAAAGCTCCATCTCGTATTTATCAAGTAGCTACACATCTCTAGATAATTCCATTTATGCAACGAAATCTGTACAACAGGTACAACACCGACCTGCGGTATCCGTAAAGTCTTTTGAAGCTCCTGTAGGCACCTCTGCGCTATTATCTTCTGCATACTGTTTTACGTTCCAATAACGTTTGTATACCAGTTGAAGCGTTTTGCCACGGATGACTTTACTGTCATTCAAGATTGCTTAAAATAATTCTTTAAATTGTTTTTATGCATAATAACGGATCAATAACGAGGAAGTTAATTGAAAATATTTGCATCAGAATAATACTAATTATTATTGTTTATAAAATGAGGATTTTAGTAAGAAATTGGACTGGGCAAGAGAGAAAAATAGGGAAGAATCTGGGGGAAAGCAGAAATAAAAGAGAAGACTAAGAGAAAAGATTAAGTAGAGAGAGAGAGAGAAGCTTAGATAAAAGTCTTGGAAAGGGACTCGAAAAGAAAAGAGTTTAGGAAGTAGAGAGTCTAGACAGTTCAGATGAAAGGGAATAAATATGAGTGTAGGACCATGATTTAGAGGTGAAAATGTGACGGACATTGAGGTTGATAGGACGGAAGTAACCATGTTGATATGTACATGTTTTGCGATATTCATTTCGTTGTAGCAGCATAAGTACTCTACAGGATGTTTCATAATTAATAAATGTAAGGAATAAATTCACCAAACATTGATTAAAATTAAGCATGGTGAATTTCATGTAAGAAATCAGGTAATATTTATAAATCACAATATTTACCACTCAAATAACCTGCATTCTTGGAAATATTTTGTCGTACTCGGTTAACAGGTTAATAATGTATAATGAAAGGTATTTTGCAGCATCTAAACTGAAGTAAAAAACAGTTCCGCCCGATATATTTGTCGCGAAGAGGACTAATACTTCACAAAAGTTCCTTCGACCTTTTCCGTCAGGTAAAATTACTCCGGATGTAAGCGCTTTGACGAGCGTTCTGCAAATACTGGGACCCGAAGTCTCCCCTCGCCCCCTCTCAACGACCGAGGTCGAGCGATAACTTTTCACCGTTTGCATTTAAAACGTACACACAAAGAATGATCGGTATCGGTCGAAAAGTTTGGAATTAAAGCTCGTCCGGAAAGCGAAATTTCGAGGGGTATTGCAATCACTGCGGATCTTCCGTATTTCGTTCGCAGCGAATTGTCTCTATAAAGTAGTCATTTCACCTATCGTTCGCGTTTCTCTACATTTCGTATCCATTTTATGTTTTATAATTACGGGGATGCTGTCTTATTATCCACATTATGGGGATAATTGCCAACGCGATTACAAAGAGCAATGGGCGAGGTTCAACATTCAGTCAATTAACTGTTAGTAACGCAGTGAGTATCATAGCGATAAAACTGCATGAATATCAAAGAATTAAAATTAATATCAATACAATGTTGAAACTCAAACATTGAATAATAAAATCTGAAGAATGGTATTGTAGATGAATTTGTATCTATAATATTGCTGCTCTAATTCAATACTGGAATATGTTTAAATAATGAAGTTTTTTTTTTTTAAAGAAAAAGGTATTTAAAGTTTTACTTTCCCAATCATAATTTGTTTCTCGAAAATAATTACATATTATTTTCATTAAATTTTGTACTAATGTAGGTTTTAAAAAATGAAATACATATAAATATAAATAGATATAATTTAAAAAAGTCTATTTAAATATAGATATTTTAATATCTCCATATTTCTCCGGATACATACACACAAAGAATGTAAAAATGGAATAGTAGGATATGGTGATTAGTGCTTTTGCCTTATATACATTTAAAGATATGTCAGCTTGAATTATCCAGATAATATCATTTGATATAAAATAATAAAATATGAACCGCATCTTTTAACAATTTCAGTAAGTCGAAAATAATGCGGTAACATTATTAAATTCTTCTAATATCTTTAGTACTTTGTATTTCAATTGCTCGCACGCACAATCGAAAAATCTATAATTAGATACAAATACGGAACAATATAAACCACGTGCTTAATTGGACAACGGAAATAGCGAGCATAAGAAGAATCCTTAACATTTCCATAACAAGAACGATCGGAGGCGTCACGTGCAACCAGAGACAGCGTTCCCGGAAGGGCGCATACTGCGAACTCCATCAATATGTTACATGAATCTTCTTACGTATCAATTAGTGACATCTGAACAAAAACAAACAAATTTTCTCTTTGCAAGACAGATAGATCTATTATGGCAAACGAGTCGAGATTACAGCTATGGCTCTGGCTACAAATTCGATCGAATTAATTAAGAAGTCATGTTTAACGGTTGCACGCTTCTCAGGACGAAGTGGAGCGGAAACGATGCGTCGGACAAAAGAGATCGAAATAATCGAAGCTGTGTGCCCAACAAGCCCGATACATCCAATATGCACGCCCCGGCCTGTTTACATTTGCTTGTTCTCGACTGGCTGGGCGACACGTTGCCTCAATCTTGTTTCACCGGAGCCTGCCTCTGTTTGCAGCTTGTTTCGAGGCAGACTCTGGACGTATTGTCTGCGGATGAAAAATCGATAACGAACGCAAATGCTTGAACGAGGTTCGTCTGCGAAAGAAGTCTCGTTACGACCGTATAATTTTTAATTTAACCAAGTGTCTCGTATCTATATATTTTTAATCGAATGTTCTATGAATCTAATCAATCTTCTATGAAATAATGATAATAGTAGCATTCGATAATGATAATGTAGTGAAAGATAAGATTGGTATTTTGTTGTGTTGTTTACTTGATGTTATTTAGAAGAACATGACACATATAACACATGACCAGGAATTTTTATATAATAAAAATTTGTTTAATTAATATATGAGTATACGCGATACTCATTTCATAGTCGGTATAATAATTTCGTACTTCGTTCATAGAAGGTTATAGAAATTAGTGATTTTGACAGAGACAGAGAACTGCATTAACATTTTGCAGGTCATTAGTGAAGTGTCCTATTATTCTGTTATCTAGATTAAGTTATATAATTGCAGATTACTAGACTGCGGGCATAGGAGCTAGATATACATTTTGTTCTTCCTTTAATCATTTTATCTAGTTGAATAGAGTACATCGATTTTCTTCATATTGTTCTTCTGCTTTAGATCGCATCTACTGAATTTAGTCATAAATGCATAAAATCCATAGAGTCTTTTACTGAAGTGTACGCGTGTCTATCAACATTTTTAGAAAGACTGCCTTTAGAGAATTAAAACTCGTGTGTTAGTTTGTAATCCTTTCTTAGTATTACAATTTAGAATGCACATTTATAGTGAAATTTTTTTTTATTTAGTTATCTTATTCAAGTAGCAAAGAAAGTGACGTTGCTATAGCACAAATGTCGCTGAATGTTGCTTAATAAGGTAATAGCTAATAATGATGAAAGATAGAATGAGAAGAGTATTTTTAAACAGCTTAAGTGTATAATTTGCAAAATTTATGGAAGTTGGAGTGGTTATGAACATTTTGTAACGCTGAGAAGGAACGGAGTAATTAGCGAGACTTCCATAGGAAGGACGGGGCATTAATTAATGCGGCGTCGTTATAGTTACGAGAGAAAAACGGGGACAAAATAGAGGTATCAATTGTAAACTCTTTTAATCAGTATTAGTCTTCTTATCTGCGTTTTTAGGGACTTCGAGATCTTACGATTTAGCGCATAATTAAGCTGTTCTGTGACTTACAAAGAATTTAGTATTAATCCAACATGTAAATACTTGGATTTAATCAAAGATGTTTACTTCCACCGCCTTGAAATTATTAGGTAAATAATTCATTTTGTAATAACTACATAAATAAACAAGTAATTTATGTAATGCAAAATATCCTTAAAATATTCGATACCATACAGTAAGAACCGTACAAAAAAATTATATAATGTTTATTAAACGTAATATCTTTTTTAAACTTCATAAATTAGTTTAAGTTGTGTTGGGAAGTAAGAGTGCAAAAAATGTCCTTAAATTATTAAACTCTCGCAGTGCCGGCGCGGTGGGTTGAGCTTTTATGCGCAGCCTCACGTTCGAGTCCAGACGGGCGGACCCATATCCTTATGCATACAAACATTTCGAACTAAAATTTTGTTGTTATTATCATCATCATTATTATTACTATTATTATTACTATTATTATTACTATTGTCTTACCGTACCTTTTTTTACATAATAATTACATTTGCTACATTTGTTCCTGTATTTGTTGCCGTTGCTCTAACATAAACAAACGGCAGTAAATGTCAAACAGTCAAGGCAGGCCTTGAGCGACAAAAATCGAACGTGGTTAATATTGTACAATGAGTACTAACGAATAAAGTGTATAATATGTATAATAGTAAATAAGTTTAAGTCGTAAGAAAAATAAGGAAAAACAATTAATATGTGCTGTATAATCTGTATTGTAACATTGAAGATTTTGTTGTAATCGTTGTATGTTTAATGTTCGCAATTTCTTTGCAGGATGCAAACCGACCTAAGCGCAGGACCTGGTCTCGCTGTTGTGGCAGGGGATGTCCTTGCTCTTCGGGGAACAGGTCTAGCAGCAGCCGAAACATGGGCTCTCCTGTGCCAGGCTGCCCAGGCCCTCCAGGATCTCTTCCTCTCAAGTGAGAATATTTTCATTTCTATTCATAGCATTTAAAAGACGACATTTCATTTGCAGTTGCAAAAATTCACTTCATTTTTAAATATTGTGAGCTCAATAGTGCGAGAACAATGAATGCAAAAGCTTTACTTATTCCATAGATTGTAGAACAATTTTCTCGTAACAAACCTCAGTGAAACAAATCGGATTTTAAAGTTTTTAATCGACTTACAATGATTGTTGCCGATATCGACCAAGTAAGCTGCAAGAGATCTGGGCTCAAATATTTATTATGGGAGAACACCGAATGTCACAATCCACAAAGATTATGTTTTTACATTATGTTTATGCATTTACGTATTTAACTGAAAAAAATGATATAAACAAATTCTAATATGAAAAATTAGAGATCAAAATTTTAAGCGACAATACATACCTCGAAGGTAAAAATATGTGATGTGCGATGTTACTTGTCACTCCATATTAGAAATAGAAATATTCGGTATTTGGTTATAAATGAAAACATTTTAATAACTAAAAATAATTCGTATTACAAAAAAAAATAGTAAAACTTCACTGTAAGTTATAAACCATGTAAGTTATCATATGTGCAGAGGAAAATACTGTTAACATAATTTTCTGAATTTGCAAACAATTGCAAAACAATTTTTTTAATAACTGAAGGTAATCCATAAACAATAATGATATAAACGAAGAAAAAAATCGAGTGAAAAAAATAATTTCCGGTACCGGGAATCGAACCCGAGCCTCCTGGGTGAAAGCCAGGTATCCTAGCCACTAGACCATACCGGATTATGGAAGAGCTTCTTCGCATACATTATATATAGTGCAAATTCAATTCAACTTTTTTTATATGTTAAATCATAAACAACTTCTAATTGATTGAGGATTGAAATTGAAGAAATAATATTCCATTTTTTTATACGTAGCAGTACTTTATACTTACGCAATAATTTCGCAATACCGACAAAAATTCCAAAATTAATTTCATTATCGTTAATTACAACATTTTACGATAAAAGAAAATTTGATTACCGAAACCATGATAATGTTACTATACCTGATCTATTTTCTTCTTAAAGAAGATATCTGAAATATATACATATATATATATATGCTCGTACATTAACATACATTTATTGCGTCAAAACATATGTACACATTTAACAAAAAACTTAACAATAATGATAAAAAAATATCTCTAAAAAAACGTATGACAAAAGGAAGAACGTGGCTTATATTAATGTGTGGTAGAGATCAAAATACGACACTAGACTACATGTAGAATCATAACAATTTTTGCTATGCAAAAGAATTTGTAACTTCCTATATATACAGCATTATTGTTTACACCATGAGAAGTTTTGTATCGGTAAACCGTAATCTATATAGGTACAGACATTATAGTAATAAAACAATGAAAACAATAAAAACCTGTTCGTACGTCATCCAACTTCTATGCTATTAATTTCGACGATTGCAAGAGTACGCGAACGGTGAATCAGTGAAATAGTTTAGCATGCGCCTTTGCCGTTTTTATTATAGTATTCTCGGCGTTTTCGCGTGCTACATTTAAACAGAGGTTATCACCAGAATAGATAAATATCTGTTACGCATGAGGTGATAGCTCGGCAATAAACGAAGAGAGCTCGGCGACACTAAACGGTGCAAAATGGCAGCCAGATTGGTATATTATAAAGGCTGTAACCCTGGTGTGGATCGATAACACTAAATCTCAAGACAAAGGCTATTCAGAGCGGTGTTAAATCGCACGATCACAGCCGATTACGGTTCGCACTGTCGAATCCGGAAGTTAAGCGCTGGCTGGTCGCCGTTAAATATTCAATAATCACAGGGCGTGGAGAAACGTGACCGTCAAGGTACCGTTGAATCCGCACTCGTTGCCTCCCGATTCATTCTGTCAGGAGAATCGACTACTTTCTAATATTGCTTCCTCGATTTGTGGTCAAAGTTTGTGCGACAAGCATTCTGAATCTACCATATTAGGTGCAGACAGATGTTGAATTAATAAATTCGTCGAAGCAGCTTTGGACATCGTCAACGGATTGAAAATATATGATAAATGGGATTGTAGCAACTAAATTCTTTGTGAACGAGGATTTTTTAAAGTTCTAGAAATATTTTCCTCGGGGATAGTTGTGTGTAAAAGTGTCAAAGGCTTCAATAATGCGAAAAATTAGCAATACATCCTGATATGATGTATTCATCATCAAATTACGTGCTTAGAACTATTCAAATAGTTCTGATGTCGCCCCAGTCGCCAATATGTTCACATTCGTCGTCAGGAGGTAAAAAAAATGATTGAATTTGATGAATAGGGAAAGATGACTTTCTCTGTCATTTTTGCTGGCTGTGCGAGATAAAAATACGAAAAACTTTCGATTTAAGATTATGATCAATACAAAATACAAAATAATATGCACATTAGCGAAAAATAATATTATTTGTACTTTATTTGTTTCGGTAATCAATGAAAAAGCAGTGATAGAAATTAGTCAAAATGTTAAATAATTTGTCCTGAAAATTGAAGTTCTTAAAAATTAGTCGTTAGTAAAATTCTTTTAAATAAATGTGAGAAAAATTTAGTAGTGCACTTTTGAAACAATAGGAAACGAAAATGAAAAGTAAAAAATATGGTGATATCGATTTTGTGAAAAAATTGATGTAGCAATAGAAGCATGGAAAAGTCAGATTTTAATTAGTCATGGACAGCTGTGTACTATATGAGAGACAAAGACGTAGATTTGAAATGCTATTATTGGCAGTGTAATTGAATCCTGATTTCTCTTTCATATAATTTTATTTTGCATAAAATATATTTAATTTTTCACAAAAAGCATTACGTTGCCCATGAACGGAGTGTTAGTAGTTAAGTTAATAAGATAATAATATAAAACAAAAATTATATTCCGGTACCGGGAATCGAACCCGAGCCTCCTGGGTGAGAGCCAGGTATCCTAGCCACTAGACCATACCGGATATATTCTGCCACTCTGAAGATTCGAAAGAAGTGAAATTATTTAATTTTCAATACAATTTATAATAAATATATATCACACGAAATTCGACTTGAATTTTATCGGATGTTGTTGTACCAATTTGGTTCTGTACTAGTTTCCACTAGTACAGATCGATAGAAAGATAACGTGATCTTCTTCTATGTTTCGTGAAGCTATAATAATACCAATTATGTTATGCAAACAATATAGAGAATTTGTTTAAGGTGTTCTTTGCTTTCCTTGATTACTTGTAATGCTTCAAGCAAAAATGATTGCATTTTAAATTGGAAATTATATCATGGGTTTCATGGCTATCTCAAGTTTATATTGCATTCATGATTGTATTAATTTGATTTACTTCCAGAAAATGTNTAGTGCACTTTTGAAACAATAGGAAACGAAAATGAAAAGTAAAAAATATGGTGATATCGATTTTGTGAAAAAATTGATGTAGCAATAGAAGCATGGAAAAGTCAGATTTTAATTAGTCATGGACAGCTGTGTACTATATGAGAGACAAAGACGTAGATTTGAAATGCTATTATTGGCAGTGTAATTGAATCCTGATTTCTCTTTCATATAATTTTATTTTGCATAAAATATATTTAATTTTTCACAAAAAGCATTACGTTGCCCATGAACGGAGTGTTAGTAGTTAAGTTAATAAGATAATAATATAAAACAAAAATTATATTCCGGTACCGGGAATCGAACCCGAGCCTCCTGGGTGAGAGCCAGGTATCCTAGCCACTAGACCATACCGGATATATTCTGCCACTCTGAAGATTCGAAAGAAGTGAAATTATTTAATTTTCAATACAATTTATAATAAATATATATCACACGAAATTCGACTTGAATTTTATCGGATGTTGTTGTACCAATTTGGTTCTGTACTAGTTTCCACTAGTACAGATCGATAGAAAGATAACGTGATCTTCTTCTATGTTTCGTGAAGCTATAATAATACCAATTATGTTATGCAAACAATATAGAGAATTTGTTTAAGGTGTTCTTTGCTTTCCTTGATTACTTGTAATGCTTCAAGCAAAAATGATTGCATTTTAAATTGGAAATTATATCATGGGTTTCATGGCTATCTCAAGTTTATATTGCATTCATGATTGTATTAATTTGATTTACTTCCAGAAAATGTCCTCGAAAGGCAGAATAATTTTATCTTGGAAAATTTATTACTTGTATTTTGTACTTTGAACTTGTGTGTAGTTGTAGTCGTTTTATGTGAACTTGTAATTGTATTATTATATTTTCATTTATAACGAGTTAAATTAGTTACTGAATAAGTTAAGTTTAGTTTATTTACCTAATATTCACCTTTACGAATATTTTATCGAAACAAATCATGAAAGTAAGGCAATGTTTTCAGGAAAATATAAAAGTTTAAAGGGCAATATATTCAGGAGAGTAAATAAATTCAAAATGCATCTGTTCCGGGAAATATACAAATTCAAAAGGCAATGTGTTCAGGAAAATAAACAAATCTTTTTTCAAAACTCGATGTTTCATTCATCGTCACTTTTCATCGCACACCAATGACTACATTTTATTACACTGTGAAAACACTTTTATCGCAGGAAACATCCTCTGTCCGCGTATGCAAATAAAACGCGTGAAAGCGATGTTGAAACGTACATCGTGTAAAAGTAAATAAAACATGTTAAAGAAAACCGTGCAAAAGTGAATCGCGTGAAAAAGATACGGTTTCAAAAAGAGCCCCAGGCAGGTGTGCAGGTTGTGCCTTTAGTGGCCACGATGACGTTTTGAGAAACGACAAATATTTTGAAGAAAAATCTGGCTCGCGTTCCTCGCACGCCCCGAGCTACGAAAAATATCATCGCGGACAATGAAATGCGTCTCGACCAGGACTCGCAACACCTGCTGCTAGGTGATTAGCAACGTGCTCTGGTATATGTATAATCCGTTGCTTTGCTGTCTGGATTAAATCATACAATTATCGATT